CCGATCTCGGGCGAAGCTGAAGACCAGGAGCTGCAGCTGGTTTAGGGTTTAGGGTTTAGGGTGTAGGGTTTAGGGTTTAGGGTTTAGGGTTTAGGGTTTAGGGTTTAGGGTGAACTAGGGCTTAGGGTTTTTGTTTTGAAATAAACTGTGAGGGTTCAGGGTTTCGGGGTTCAGGGCTGAAGGGATGTGTAAGCCAAAGGGTCCATGTTCCCGATTAGGCCTTTTAGGTACTCTGAGGGCAAAGTGTGACCCTTAAGGTAAGATTTCAGGTTTGAACCGGTTTGAGAGTTTAAGGCCTTATGACTTGCTGCTGTACAACTAAAATAGTAACTAAAAAACCCTGCACCCTAAACCTCTAACCCCTAGCGGCAAAACCCCCCCACCAAATAACCAAAGAGGACAGGGCACCTGAGCCCAGGAAATGCGCCGACTGCCTGAAAGGCGAAGCCGGACCTCCAGAAAGATCAGTGGACCAAGGTGGCCCTTGCAGGAAATATGCACAAAGCCTAGTGTTGATTCAGCGTTTTCACGCGAAGAGCGGGCTCTGTCTATGCAGACGGCGAGCGTAGTCAACAAGGAAGCAGCTACTGCAGTACAATGCCTTCAGGAAGGTACTATGGGCTATTTGTACTTCGACTTGCTGAAACCTAGGGCACGAAGTGAGTAGGCACGCCCACGCCCCACCCTGAAACCTGATTCCCACACTTTGTAAGCCCTAAACCCCAAACCTTAGACCCTAGACCCTAACACGACTGGCCTTGCCTTGTAAATGGTTCCTTCGATGGCACCTTCGCTGGCGCCATCAATGCACCTGAAGTTTGGGGCTTAGCTTACGAGCAACCCTGAGGCTCCAAATAGCCCAAAAGCCTTAAATAATATGGTCTTTGGTCCCAAAAGCCTTCAAATATGAGTCCTTAGGGCCTTCGGGCAAGCAGCCCTATGATAGGTTATGATGATATGAAAAGGGTTTAGGGTTTGATATCTGTGAGGTTTGGAAGCTGGGGGCGCAGGTCATTCGTAGAAAACCGTGAGGGTTTAGGCTTTAGGGTTTAGGGTTTAGGTTTAGGGTTTAGGGGAATGTAGTCTGTTGAGCTTGTAGCGGGAGTTTCCAAGCTTGGCTTGCCTCGACCTTGCATTGCAATATGTCATCACCGCAAGGCTCTTGTGGCCGAACAACAACACTATACTGAACTTAGACCCCTAGCAACAATTATAATTTTAGCTGCTTCTTAGGGTTTATAGTAGTCAAAGGTTCAAAATTATTTCTAAGTACCCCTAAGGACAGGCTTGCCTTGCAACAACCAGAGGGTGACCCTCCCTCATGCTGCGACTCATGCTCGGTTAGGGTTTCGGGTTCAGGATTCAATCGGTTGAAGGATCACTGTGCAAAAAGCATCCAGTAGGAGAAAATGATCTTACAACCAGTTGTCATCCAAGGCAGTTCTTACTGCCAAGTGCAAAGAGAAATTTGCACAAGGCCTTCGACCGCCTTCTCACCCCAAGTAGGTTCCAGTACCTATTTCAAGGGCTTACGTGTTCGTAAAGGTTTAAAAGGGTGCGCGGCTGCTCAGGGCCAAGTGGTTTTGGGTTTCAGGTCTTGTTTTGCCTTGAGGATGGCGTATACTCGAAGGTCCTAGAGGTTAATCATGTGCCGCAGAGCACCTGTTCGTCTCGGGATGGAGCCCATAATGTCAAGGGCGATTTGCTCCGTAAGCTTAATGCACCCCGTCACACAGGAGCAAGTACCTAAAACCCTAAACCCTAAATCCTAAGCCCTAAACCCTGAACTACCACTTCAGTACACTTGTATTGTATAGGGTTTAGGGGGTTTCGGGACATACGGTGACTCGGCAACGGTTAACTTCAGGTCTTCCATGTGGAGGGGATTTTAAGGTGGGCGTGAGATTTGGGATTTCGACGAGAGGCGAAAACCCAAGCAAACTACTATATGGGTGGTTCTCTAAATTAGGGTCCCCTTCTAGGTCCCCAATATAGTACGGCACCCTTGTAAAAGGGCCCTAGAAGGGACCCCAATTTAGAAAACTGCCCATATACCAGATTGCGCTAAAACCCCTTCCAAGATGGCAATAACCTCATGTACAACCGATTTCCTCAGACGATGACAGCAACTCCTGGACGGGAGAAGCCCTCAATAGCTCATTCACCCTCCCTTCCAAGTACATGACAATTCCACGACAAAGCCACAGAACACGAAACTCAAGGCCAACTGACGACCTCATTGTGGGTGCGACTCAGACCCCTACAGGAAGAGATTTTTTGTGACATGGTGCATGGGCATAAAAAGTGCCAGAACACACGCACAATTGCCTGCAGTGACATTGCAACTGCTCACCGGGATCTAAGCACCAGCTGCCGCCAGCAGGCGTACGATCTCGCCGTGGCCACGGCGACCAGCTTCAGAGATAGCCACAGGCAAGTCTAGGTTCACACCAGTGTCCAGGAGCACCCGAACTATGTCGATGTGGCCCTCAATGGTTGCGCACACAAGAGCCGGGAACCGCTTGGACATGTGACGGCCTTTGATGTCCAGCTTCGCGCCGGCCTGCACCAGCAATCGCGCAATCTCAACATGGCCTTTGATGGATGCTTGTATGAGTGCTGTGTTTTTGGAGTCCCTGTTCTGCACATCCATGTTGGCGCCGGCTGCCACTAGCAACCGCACGATCTCAAGGTGGCCTTTGTCGGATGCAAGCATGAGAGCCGTGTTGTCGTCAGTATCCCTCTTATCCTTTTCCTGGGGTTTGAAGTAACCAGGGAGAAAAAAGTATAGACTTTTGTTTCATAATGGTTCCTTTAAGGAACAGGTCCCCGAAAAAAGTATTAAAGTATGGTACTCCAAAGCCCAGTTTCGGCACCAGCCTTCAGAAGGATGCGTGTGACCTCGAGGTGGCCTCTCTCACATGAACGAATGAGAGCTGTCTGCCCACGGTCATTGGTCAAGTCTTTGCTGGCACCAGCTTCCAACAGCAGACGCACGATCTCATCGTTGCCTTTGTGCGCTGCTTCAAGCAAAGCTGTTTGGCCACCCCGCCATGCTCGATAATCGCTAGTAGTCGGATCAGCTTCCACAATCAAACGAGCAATCTCAACGCGATTGTTCAGGCACGCAGACATGAGTGTGTCTCTCATCCTGCATGGCCGGACACCAGTCTGAAGTATCGAACGCACCGCCTCAACTTGCTCTCGCGCACATGCATCGTAGAATGCGCTTTCAACCATAGGCGTGAGGGCACCGGTGGCAGGCAGCAGAACCAACTGCAGATGACCGGGAAATTCGAGCTCGGCAATATCATCCAATGTAGCACCGTCCCGCACGAGCTGCTGCATGCATACAGGGAAACCATGAACCTGCTGAAGAAGATGTTTCAGCTCTTTCACTGTCCTCTCACCACCGAATCTTTCCTTTTCTATGGCAGCAAGCTCTTCACCTGATAGCTTCCATACGCGGAGCATCATTGGGCCATCAAGTAAAGGTTTGGAGTCATGGGCCTATTTCCACCATACCATACTACCAGTAGCATCTACTTGCTGGCAGAGTCTAGGGCTAATTAGGGATCTTATAACCAACAAATATTGCAGTGGTTGGGGGTAACTTTAAAGGCAGGGTCGAGTGTAGGTTTGGATTGATCTTTCTACCGGATTCTAGCGTCTGAAAATCATTGCCCAAAGCAGATAAGAGTCCTCCGTACCCCCTCCCTGCCCTACAAGCGTCACTCAAACTATCAAACGCCGTGGAGATGATGAGGAATGAGGCCTTTAAATTAAAGTGCTTTCGCTTGCTTTAAACAGCCTGTGGCCGCATGGCTACACAGTGATTTCCCTGGGGCCCTTGAACTTATGGCAAAGTAGGGTTTAGGGTTTGGGATTTACAGTAGAAGCCCAAAAGTTGGAAACCCAATAGCCTCAATCCTTGAGAGCAATGTATAAGGAATCCCAGCATTAATTGTCCTTAATCCGGTTTCCAACTTTTTGGGGTTTACTCTAGTAGGCTGCCGGGAGCGGGACCAGGAAAATTGGAACTGTCTCGAAATGGCTTCGGCGGTTGAAGGGTGACAGAGGTTGTGTGTGTAATTCCCCAAACAGCTTTAGCTGANNCTCTAAAAACCGCTACTCATTTGTCTCCCACTTGTCTCCCATTTGTCTCCCACTTGTCTCCCATTTGTCTCCCACTTGCTGTTTGGGGTCGAGGCTGGTATAATTTATAATATATATATATATAACACGATAATATATATGTATATATGAACATAAAATATAAACATACATTATACGCTTTAGGGTTAAACAAAAACGGGATAAGTGTCTCTATATGAGAAGAAAATGAGGCAACCACAAAAAGGCTACAATACAGGGTCTGTGTGCAGAGGCACTTGGACACTTTTTTGCAGGTCCAACTTTAAGACGGGAACCTGTGGTGTGGAGTCTAGAATCAGGTTCCCTAAACCCTAAACCCTGGTGAAGGATAGGATGATTCCTTCCTAGACTTCCCTCAACTGCGGGTGTAGGGTTTATCGCCCTGAACTCCGTAAGTTGGTAATTCACAGGATGATGATATACTTGTGCAGCAGTATTTGGGGAGTATACAGCCATTTTGAACCATAGACCCTAAACCCTAAACCCTGGAACTTCCATCCCAACTCCTATCGAGTCCGAAAGCGGCTGAGCATACGGATCCACATGTAAGGCCGAATCCAGCAAGTGTGCACTAATGCTCGTTCTAAGTATTGTGGGGGGGTTTAGGGTTTTAAAGTACATATAGCCATAACATAGACAACTTTGGCCCCTCAGGGTCAGTAAAGTCCTACCTCCCAACTCTTGTCAAAGATGGTGGGCAAACGTTCGGACCCCGTACGGAATCTCCTTGATACGGCCCTAGGTTCCTGGTCCTCACGGACTTCAACCCTAAACCCCAAAACCTAAACCTTCCACCCTAAATTTGGCCATAAATGACTTATCCGGGGTCTTTCGTGGACAAGGCACCAAGTAAAGTCACCGTCGTCTGGGCCCACAATTCGTGCCGACCTAGTGGCAGGCAGCAGAAGGAAGTACTTATTGAGTTCAGGGTTCAATGTCCTACAAACCCTCAACATTCCCTGAACCCCGATGCTCTATAATTTAAGTTAGACTCCTTGGTTCATTAAGGGATACTGGAACGTCTGGGTGCTTCTGCATGGCATCATCCGGATATATACTTCGGACGATCTCCCGGACAGCATACAAGGGGTTGACTGGTTTAGAGTTTAGACTTGAGTGGTTTTGGCATTTAATGACGGCTTATAATATACCTGTAGTCTCCATCGCAGTTCCTTTTTTGTTTAAGCAGGTTTTATAGCTAGGATCTTATTATCGGCTAACCCCAACAGGAACTACAATGTAACCCGTAGGGATCTAGCTTTCAAGGCTTACCTGGACCCTGAAGAACCTACCTTTAAATTGTTAAGAACTTATATAAGTAAATCATAGTAAGGAGCCCTAAAAAAGGTAGGTTCTTAAGGGCTCAGGTAGAATATAGGGATCTAGCGTTCAAGGGCTTAGAGTTTAAGGGCCAAGCGGAACGAACGCCGGACCCTGCAAGCACCCATAGTGGCTTAGGGTCCAGGACTTCAGGGGTTGAGGGGTTTAGGGTATAGCGCGTTTAGGGTTTAGGGCCCCTGGCTTCTAGCGTTCGAGGCTTTCGGTTTAGGGTTTAGGGTTTAGGGTTTAGGGTATAGCGGATTCTTAAGAGGTTTCGTGTGCAGGGGTTGAGGTCCAGTTCAGTTTTATCAACCGGGCCTGAAATCTTGTCACTGGTTGGGTCGGTATGCTACAGACCAAATGGTGAGGCCCTAGCCTCTAAACCTCGAGAGCCTTAGACCCACAGCCCGACAGAGCAGACCACCTTTCAGAATTTCATCCCAAGGTCTGAAGCCTCGAAAGCCTAGAACCCGCAAAATCCTAGAATCCTAGACGCCCTAGAAGCCCCCCGCATTGCAAGCCTTAAGCCCTTAGAGCCCTCTGGAATCTGAGTATGGGGGTGAGTGCTGACCAAGTGTCTGTCCAAGACCATCCGTCACCTCAGGAAGTGGGGTTTAGGGTTTAGGGTTTAGGGTTTGGGCATCGGCTGGGCTTTTACATGAAAGGCTTTAACCCTACACCTCAGCTCTAAACCCCTAACCCGAGACCTCCTAACCCCCCTAGAAACCTTCTTCTCCGAGCCAGCAGACAAAATTCAGTATAGAAAACCCTAAACCCTAAAGCCAAGGAACCCATGTAAAGCATCTAAAACTCTTATGGATCCCTTTTCGAAGTCTTATAGAAGCCTTCCAGAGGCCCAGAAGCCCCTATGCCCTTAATCCTTGATTGAAGCCCAGTTTCGTGCACAAACTCTTCATCCTTCTATCGGCTCGTTACACAAAGCGCAGTGAAAGTTAAGTTCATCATGTATCTTAGAGTTCCCTTAACAAGATCTACAAAAGGTTTAAGGATAAATCTATAAGGGCTTAGGGCTTAGGGCTTAAGGCTTTAGGGCTCAGGCTTCAAAGCTTTGCGTTCAGGGTTTAGGAGTTCCGGCTTTAGGGCTTGAGGACTTATGCAAAGAAGGCCTAAACCCTAAACCCCTAAACCCTAAACCCTAAACCCTAAACCCTAAACCCCTAAACCCTAAACCGTAAACCCTAGACCCTAAACCTTACATCGACAACACCCCCAGGCCGAACTCTAAAGGTCCTAGCACTCACAACTCTGCATCATATGGAACTTAGCCCCAGCGGCCCTCTACCCAGAGAACCCAATACCCGTTAATTAAGGAATATACCCCTAAACCCTAAACCCTAAACCCTAAACCCTACCTTAAACTATAGAGGCCCTGATATTACGGTTTAAGGTATATTCCTTCAAAAAGGGGTATTGGGCTCTCTGGGTATGGGGACTCTTAGCTAAGAGTTTCTAGACCCTCCTATAAGGAGATAACTGGACCCTCAGGGCAACCGCTCCAGGTAACACATGCATGTCACGAATGTAGGGGCCTTAATAATTAAAATAGAGTCTCGGGGTTTACTATACTATAATAATAATAATAGTAATCAGGAGCCCCCAAAAAATAGTATAGGAAATTATTGAGGCCCCTATAGTACAACTCGGCAAATACAAAGGGCCTTTGAAATTAATTGAAATCGGGTTTTGGCCTCGGGAACATGATCCCTAGTCAATCCCATCCCTGTATACTAAGACTACAGACCCAAGCCCTACCTTAAGAACCCCAAACCCACTTTTTTGTAGGTTCTTATTATAAACCCTAATATGGGATTTATAGGGACCCTACAAAAAAGTAGGTTTTGGGTTCTTAAGGTACACCCAAAACCCTAGACCCAAAACCCTTAGCCCTCAACCCCAAATCCAAAGCCCAAAACTCTGGAACGAAGCCCTACACACTATAAACCCTACCTGGACCCCAAAAGATCAGAACCTACCGTTTCAGGGCTCCTTCTTATGATTTCCTTAAATAAGTCCTTAAACAAGTAGGTTCCTTGGGCTCTAAGTAAACCCTAAACCCTAAACCCTAAACCCTAAACCCTAAACCCTGAAGCCCCAAAGCCCTAAGCTCCGAAACCCCAAACCCTACTGTTTAGGGTTTTGGTTTAGGGTTTAGGGTTTAGGGTTTAGGGTTTAGGGTTTAGGGTTTAGGGTTTAGGGTTCAGGGTTTAGGGTTTAGGGTTTAGGGTTTAGCTGAGGGACCGGATGTATTCGCTTCCGTCGGTCCCCGTCCAGGACGAAGTGGAAGCGTGCGGAGAGACTCGAGTCCAGAGTGATGGTATAGAAGTAGTCACCTTCCGGGTTTAGGTTGGTTGGTTTAGGGTTTAGGGTTTAGGGTTTAGGGTTTAGGGTTTAGGGTTTAGGGTTTAGGGTTTTAGGGTTTAGGGCTGAGGGTTTAGGGTTTTAGGGTTTAGGGTTGAAGGTTTAGGGGTGAGGCCAGAGAGATGGTTTTGGTCCCGAAAGCTTCACTCTGAAGCCTAGGGTTTAGGATTTGAGGGTTTAGGGTTCCGGGTTGTAGGGGTTATGGTTTAGGGTTTGAGGGTTGAGGGCGCCCTAAACCCTATATTCTTAAGTCTCAACCCCCGAGCTGGAGAACCTCAGCTCTAAGCTCTACACCCTAAGCCCTTACCCTCAAATCCGAAAACCTCAACTCCAAACCCTAAACCCTAAACCCTAAACCGTAAACCCTGGAGTCTAAGCCCTAAGACCACATTTCTAAACCCTAAACCCTAAACCGTAAACCCTGGAGCCTTAAACCCTAAGACCACATTTCTACACCCTAAACCCTAAACCCTGGAGCCCTAAACCCTAAGACCACATTTCTGCAGCCCGGGCAGCCTCCAATGGGCCGGAGAAGCTGCAAGCCGGCGAAGTTGTCCCAAGAGCCCATAATGTAGAGCTGTCCTGCAGGGTTTAGGGTTTAGGAATCAGGGCTTAGGGTTTAG